TTATTGACGCAAAATCGCACTACAGCCGATACTACGGCCAGAAGGGTTCTATTGTATTGCTTTGTGAAGAAATTCAGAACTCAATCTAAAGAAAACTCAGTCTGAAATGCCATATGATATGAGTATCTTCTATGCGTTGTTAAAGCTGGATAGTCACAAAAAATGTACATAATAGTTTCTTCATCTTCTAGGCATAATCTGCATTCCAAATTAGCAGATAATCGTAGTTTATGAAGATAATATTTCAGACCATAATGTCCTGTAATGAAACCTATTATCAACCTTAAATTATCTTTTAAGAATTTAAAAATGTTTTTGTAGTAGTATGGTTTGATCAGTGTTTTCCTTTGTCTCTTGGAAAGTCTTCCCAATACACCAGCCGCATATGATTCTCCCTCTACTTGATTATTTGCTTAGTACTGGCACAATTTAACCCATAAAATGTTTGATTGCCTGTAAAAACAGTTTTTGATGCAGTTCTGGCGAGCTCATCAGCTTGTTCATTTCCCAAAACTCCTTTGTGACCCGGAACCCAGTAAAGACTTAACTTATTCCGAATTGTAAGTAACTGTAAAAGCTCGTGTTCATAACGTTTTTTTATTCTATATAGAGAGTTGCTTATATCAGTATTTTATTCGACATTCTTTCCTTATCTATTATTGTGTTATTATTTAAAATAAACCACATAAAAAGATATATGTATATTGAAAAATAAACGCAAAAGAAGTTATATATTGAAAATAATTTATCGTTAAATTTGTTTTAAATAAATTTTTATTAGTTTTAGTTTTTCAGTCCGCATATATGTATATTCACCTATTATTATTATTTTTTATTATATTTTTTTTTTTTGGCTTTATTTTCTATATTAAAACTTAAGTAATAAAATTTTAAAAACCATTAAAAGTTATTTAACATAAAATTACTGCGAAAATTGTAGCAAAAAAAGAAAAATATAAAGTAACAGATATTGAAGGATAATGTACCTATGCGAAAAAGTGGGCTTGGGGGGAGGGGGCTTATTGAGAAAGTACTGCGGTGATAAAAATCGTACCTGCAACAATGACGTCGAAAACTTTTGCAAACAAATTCACATTTTGCATTTTTTTGCATTAGAATTTCAATGGAATTCGAAGTTGGGAAGTCGGCCGGAATCACATTTGCATTTGCTTGCATTTTATGCGCTTTTGTAATGCAACTCAAATCAGAAATGAGAAAATGAGAAAAAATGAAAGGAATTCCATTGCAGCCACAAATTATGACAGGTCTGAAGGAAAACTGTTGACAGCCGGTAGGCTGTGGGATGTACTGCCAGTAGACAGAGTTGCACAATTGAGTAGCACTGAAATGACAATAAATTACATATTCCATCCATATTCCATCGTAGGTTTTGGGCATAAAATATGAAACTATTTTATAGGAAGTTCATGTTACTTCTTTGAAGGACTTCTGTCAAAAATACTGAATTTATTTATTTAATATTATTATTTTGCTTCATATTTATTTCAGTTTGTCATTTCGATTTTTATTTTAGTGACTTTTGTTCCAAAAAGGAAATTTCACTGTAAACGCTTTATAAACTATGGGTGAAGTTTTCATATGCAAATGAGTTCCTTTCGGACTGATTTTAATACCAAAATTATTTGGATTCTTGTAGGAATTTAACTAATTCAAATAAAAATAAACGTTTATCATTTGGTATCAATAATTTTTGGCAGATTTTATTTTTTTTTAGTTTTTATCTGCATATCCTTTTCGTGCATATTGAAAGGAAATTTCTTATTTGTGGCATGCAATGTGCCATTTTCTCTTTTGTTATGGTTTATTTCTTTTTTTTTTATATATATAATATACTTGTGATATCCTTAATATTATTATTATTGTTGTTGTTGCTGTTGTTGTTGTCTAGGGTAACAACGTTCTTACTGTCGCGAAAGTTTTTACCACAATTTCATTTCACTTTCATATAAAATATGTAGAGAGGGAAATGTGGTGTCGGGCTGTGAAGAAGGGCAGGCGCAACGAGGAAGTCAAATACTCCGGAAAAGTTACTGACTTTCGAGTTTGTCGGTTGTAGGCGCTCACCACGCTTTTCACACTTGTTTTAGAGCTCGTCAAAGTTAAACGTGTCTTTCGGTTTTTCCCTTAATAAACGGCGTGACTATAAAGGCATTGTTTCCTTTACTGTTTGTGTTTTTCGGCCGTAGTTCTTCCTTTCTAGAAATTGTGTTCATGTGTTTCTTTATTTAGAGGAGAAAAAAAATCAATTAAAAATTTTGAATTAATGTTGTTGTTACTTTTATTGCAATTTTATTGGTTTTTTACAAATGAAAACAGTTAATTAATAAAAGTTAAAAGTACGTGGTTTAAGCTAATTGTTTTTATAAAACTCGAAGGTGTTAATTTAGAAGTTAAAGGAAGGGAAAAGGCTTAAAGTTAATTTTTTAGAAGGACCACAAATAGAAAATGGGCGATGCAGACGCGGTAAGTTGTTATCATATATACAAAATGTACTTATAGCACCTCAAATAAGTACAAAATGTACTTATTTGATTTACTCACAACGATATCATCTAAGACATAAATTATCTTATTATTAGTTAATTAGATATTAATTTTTGATATAACAACAATTTAGTATCATTTGTATTATATTATGACTATCTTGTATATTTAATTTTTTTTTGAGAAGACTGAGAATTTTTTTATTATTTACAGTCTGAAGAGACTTTATTAAGTTAGTTACTATATGTTACTAACAAGTTATTAACATATATTAAGATTTACACATTATTGTTTTTATCAAATGTGATTTTTAACGTCAGTTATGACGAGAGAAACTATTTTATTAATAGAAAATTTTACTGTTAATAGAAATCTTAATAGAAATTATTGTTTTAGATATAGATATGATGATATGATCTCGAACAGTAGTGAATTGCAAAACACAAAATTTTATTATTTCAATTATTTAAATTTTTGGCTCACCAAACAGCTGTTTCGAGTATTACCTAATTAGCAATATTTTCTTATCAAGGAATTGTATTGAATTACAACAACAAAATTTTATTATTTTAATTATTTAAATTTTCGGCTGACCGAACAGCTGTTTCGAGTATTGCAAATACCCATTAACAGTGGTCTTTTTGAAAATATAACTTATATTTAATTATTCGTAAATAATTGCTTTTCAGTTCAAATTAAATATGTTCGATAATTAATCTAAATGTTCCCTAATTAATTAAGCTTATTTATTAACAACAAAAACGTGAAAGAACAATAAAGTAAGCATTGGTGAAAAAAATAGATTTGAGAACTCCATTAGAAAACCACGTATTAACGTTTCCAAAGTTAAAAATATGTACCTTATTTATAAAATTAAAGTTAATAACCAATTATATTATTACTACTAAAATTTCCGTCGGAATTTTTTTTACAATAATACTTAAGATTACAATACTACAATTATTTTTACATTAATAATTTAATAACATTATTTAAAAAAAATAGAAGATTTAATTAAAAATAAAGTAAATGACTTATTATATCATTACTAATTTTATACTATTTTATATCAATATGAAGTTTATATATATAAAGTAAATGCTCTACTATAACACCACTACTACAACAATAATATATTGACATAAAGATTATTCTAAAATAAAAAGAAAATTAAATTAAAAATAAATTAAATACCCACTATACCATTACCACTTTCTAAATTTCACATTAAAATTATTATACTACAATATATAGATTAAAAAGTTACTTTAAAATAAAAAGAAACTTAAATAATTAATTAAGTAATTAACCCATTGTACCAACACTACTCTCTAAATTTTGCAACAATTTTTTATTGAATTTTATTTATCCAGGTCCATTTAATTCTTCGTTATAAGGACAATTTCAGTATATAAATTAACTACCTTAGGAAAAGATGTTTATAAATTTCTATTTATTAGGGACTGTACTGTAAAATAATAGGTTTGATAAAGTAACAATAATTCTTAATAATAAAATTCATTTCCATTTCGGCAGTTTCCATTTTTTCCTCAAAATAAATTGACTCCTGGCTTTGTTCTTTAAATAAAGCAATATTAACAATATCTTTAGCTACTTAGAAGAACTTTTACACTATATATAAAAATATCTTACATTGATAAGTTAAACTATCTATTATCTGTTTTAATACGAAGGCTTTATCCCATTCACATATCAGCCAAATGAAAAAAATGTTAAATTAATAGTTTCCAAAAATAGTTAACTTTTTCTACTTGTTATTTTATTTTAAAAAAAATATTGGGAAGTTTCTTTAAAAATATGTAAAGTTATTTTTACTGCTCCTTTAAAACTATCGGAGATAAATATATCTATATCCTGCGTCTTTGTTTTAATGTGCTGATAGTGCATATAAATTACTCATTGTATGGCAGTGCAAAGTTCTAATTCGGTACAACGGGCTTCTCAGAAACAACTTTTTAGGTTCCTCAAACTTAACAGATTTAAATTCAGATCAATACTAGGGTCTTAAATGAAAATACTCCTATTAAATGCTTTAATTAGTGAAAAACGAGAGCATAATGTATGCACATTTGAAGATTTCGTGCAATATGGATTAAAGCATTTGCCCATATTATCTGTGCATGATATGCGATTGTCAGAAAACAAGTCCAGTACATTCTGTAGTGTGTATATACTTCGACTAATTTACTGCCAGCGCTACTTTAAGTTGAACTATTTATTTTCATGTTAAGCTATAACTGTTTATGCAATGGGAATACGATATCTTGTGGATGACAACGGAACGTTGAGCGTCTTGCGATAAGCTAGTAAGACTATATATGTGTATACAACCCGTCAACTAAACAGAAATGGATGTTAGATGTTTTCAACGGTAAATGGCGACTATTTATATGGCGATTCTGCCAACTTATGTTGTGGCTGCTGTTATAAATAAAATTATATTTTAGAATTTATCAGAAGCCTTAATTTTAGCATATTGACTTAAAAGAGTTATCTAAGACAGTCCAGATTTATAGATTTATAGAACATGTTATAAAAGAATAGATCGTTCAAATTGAATAGATGGAATTTGTTGAACAGATTGTGAAAGTTATGGTATAACATTTCCTCTTCCAATAATAGTAATAAAACTTATATATGCAAAACATTTTTATAATTAATAGCAACAATTTTAAATTATTAAAGGAAATTTTTTCCAAAATCAAAAATATTATGCAATAATTTATAATTGGTCATTTAAATAAAAAAAAAAAAACTATAATTTATTATTTATATTTAAAACAAATTATATTTTATTATGATATTTTTCGATATTTCGAATATCTTTGTCATATTCAGTGAAGCTGTATAGTCAGTCAAAAATACAATTAATTGAAATAATATAAAAATAATTTTTGTTGTTATAGCTCACTATTGTTCGAAACTTATCTATAATACATATAGTTATACAATTGTACATAGTTATCTATATATGATCTGTAATCATGGCTTTTACATCAATAAGTTTAAAACAAGGTATTTTTTGTATGTAAAGTCTGAAATTTTATATTTTGTGGGTATACATAGCACTATAATAATATTATATTTTTTTTGAATTTCTTTCTATAAACTTTATATTTTATTTTCGAATATTAATAGAGGTGTCCAAAGTTTTAGATTTTGATTCTTAACCTATTTGGTGCTTTATTGTACTATCAAATATCTTTCAGATTAAATTATGTACACATACTCAACTCTTAGTAAATTTGAATATGCCTTGAACTAACTTTAGTAACAAAAGCGCCTATAAAAATCAACTGCAAATTTATTTAAATTTCTAAATTTATGAATCCTTTGACCTTGTTGCATTGTGGAACTATTCATTGTTGTCATAATAAACCCTTTGACTGCTTAAAATTCAACAAATAAAATGTTACAAGAAATATTTCTAATGTTAGACCCTGCATTGACAACTCAAACTTTGTTGAATCAATAAGCGATTTGAGTGAACTAAATTAGGTCGAATTACAATCGTACATAAAAATTCATGACAAAACTCCTCGAAGGTAATAAAACTCGAATAATATAAACACAACATAAACAAAATAGAATATTACGAGACGATTTTATTGTTAACAATTCAGTAATATGAAGAAATAAAATTCTGAAGTACTGCAGCAATAGTTTTTAGCAAAATACAAAGTAATTTTTTATGATTTCATGTTACTTGCACATTTGCACACAACGGGCACAAATCATTTCTGTTATCATACTCTCAAGCAAATACAAATAAATTTTGTTTTGCATATGTAAATTTGCAGCAAATGCGACCTACAGGTCCGCCACGCCCACCATTTCCAGCAGGCATGCCTATGCGACCTATGGCTGGGCCACCACGTCCCATGCCACCGAATATGATAAGACCTCCGCCACTACGACAAACCGATAGTCAAGGAAATCTGCTTATGGGACAGCGTCCACCAATGCCACAACAACCAAATATACAAATGCGTCCACCTAGTAGTGGTGGGCCAATAAGTCCACCTGGTCAAGGTCCACCACGACCAGGCGCACCTTGGACAGGGCCACCACCAGGGCAAGCAAATCCAAATCGACCACAAAATCCTTATCCTGGAAATCCACCAGCGAGGCCACCATTTCAAAGACCACCAATACCACAAGGACAACAACAGTTTCGACCACCAATACCACAACAACAACAACAGCAACACATGCCACCTACGCAACAGCTGCAGCAACAACAACAACAACAGCAAGCACAGCAGCATCATCAATTGCAACAGCAACAGTCTCAACGCCCACCTTCAACTAGTTCCATTAATAATGAGGATGATGATGATGTGATTATGGGTCAAGCTGTAACACCTTTAAAGTCTTTAAATTTAAGAGATGATCTATTAGGTCCATCACTATTTGAAGAAACTGAACCACCAACATCTAAAGAAGTTTCTGATACTACAACCAGAACGAATAGTTTTTTACCAACTGTAAACGAAATCAATGATAATATTATGAAACCGACGAACCCTCAAATTAGACCTTCTAGTAATAGTTCCGAGAGGACAATGAAGTCAAGTGTTTATAGTAAGATTTTTGTAAAATAATTTTGTGTTTTGAATTTACTTTGATATTAAATGAAGCCATTATTCGTTCTATTAATTTGTTATATAGATAAATTTATTATATATATTTTTCAATGTTATTAATTATTCTTACAGAAGGAGACAATGATAGTGGCGTTGATGAATCAACTCAAGAAAAGGTTAGTATTTCTTAGTTTTAAATTATTAAACCTGTTAGGCATGATATGACTGGTAAAATATGGAACTAATGAAAACTCCCTGCATTCAGAAAAATATATGGAATAAAAATATAGAACCACATACTAGCAAAATGACCTTATCATTTTTTAGAAAATTTTTAACTGTGATATGGTTAAATCAACCGAATTATATTTCTGAGTGTACTATTATGAAAAACAAGTACTTATTTCTTATAATATAAGATAAAAATATTAAATTTCGTAATATGAAATAAAATATTAAAATAATATACAAACTAAAAAAAAAACTAAAAAATAAATATAATAATTAAAAAATTATAATAATTGGTATAAAAAAATTACCTATATTATATATAATGTTACAGAGATAGTTATACCATCAATATTACCAATATTATTAATATACATCGAAAAACGGGTAATACTCTGTTATCGAGTGGTGAAGTTTTTGTGAAGTGGAAGTCTAGTTTTATCATATCTAAATTTCAGTAGTTAAAAAGTTAATGGAAAGTGGATACACCACTTGTAGATCTATCTAACACATGTACTTATGTGTAAGCTGTATCATCTGGTATTTATTTATCACTAAATATCAACATTATAATTTAGTTTACATTTTAATTTACTTTGATTATATTATTTATTATTATTAGATTGTAAATAGTAATACTTTCTAATAGACTTTGATCACATACCTTCCTCTGTAGTAGCTTACATAATAAATTAAATAAATATACTTTAAATATTGTAGATACGGTTTAATGTTAAATATGTTTAATGGGTTGACTACTCAGGGCAACAGAACTGAAATGTTGCCAAGTCCAAGACAAAAAATAATTTTCCTTTAATAGTTCTACTTCCAATCGCAAACCTTAAAAATATATTTTTGTTTTACATAAACAGTAGTGTTCCTAGTTTCAAGACATTAGATTATATAGAATAGTGTGCAATAACCAGCAGGGACACCTCAGGAACCCGCATATATTTTCCACGGTTTAAAAACTTATACTATTTACTGCTGTTGCAGTTTTCCTCGAACCATTGGTTTTTTTGGTTATAAAATCTATCAGTCATTTATAAATATTTTCCACTTTGGAAAAGAATCTGTGAATCTGCGTATCTAAGTGCTTTTGATTTATAATTGTTACATTATGCGATATTTTATCTGAATAGATGAGGCACTGCTTAAGATAAACAACACTGAATTCTGTGAAAAAAGATTTAAAAGTGATAAATATTCTAGTACGTTAGCATCTGAAAGATCTGAATAGTTAGTTCAATAAAATAATTCTTATAAATACTTTCAATCAATAATCAATATGCAATAAATATATACTCTTATAATATATATTAAATTATATATTTGAAAATTGAAAAAAACTTTTCCTTATAGTGATATTAAAAATAGCTGTTTAATTTAAATATAATTTTTGAATATATAGTTTATTTTTAAAGTATCAAACAATTTTGAATATATTAGTTTTATGAATTCAAATTTAATAATTTTAATAATTTAGTTGATAATTATTGGTTATAATAAATATTTAATATGCATTTAAACATTTTTATATACATTTTCATTGGATTTAAAATGGTTAAAAAATTCTATATATTTTTTATATGTGTAAATATTAGTTTTACTCAACAGAAGTAACTAATAAAAAAAAAATACCTCAACTAAAAAGAGAAAAAATTTTCTTTTTCAAATATATATCTATGTAACTTATTTTTATCTATATAAATATATTTTTATATATAAAGTATAACAACTTCTCGTAAATAAAATCGAATATACCAATACTCGCGTCGATAAGACATTGCGTGACTTCAAGTGATTTATAATGGCTTTTGATAAAAATTTTTATGAACACCAAATCGCTTTAAATTGGTTGTTTTCAATTAAACACCCTGTTTGCTACAGTCAAAACTGGATAAAAATTTAAATTTTATATATATAAAATAAATGCCATAATTAACGCATGTTAAAAATGAAAAGATTTATTATATATAATATATATAAAATAATTTAATGCGACAATGTTAGGAATTAATGTTAAATATTGACCGATATTTGCACTCCTAACAGAAAATATAATTTAAATAAAAATAAAATTCTGTTAACTAAGAAACCTTTCAATATGAAATAATTAGTAAATAAAGAATAAATTTATATATAATGCAGTTTCACCTTTTTCATAGTAATCAATCATCTACTAATGTATTTCTTGAGATATTTTACTAATTTTCAATCCATATAACTTTTTAATAGGAAAAATATAAATGCTTTAACAAAACATATAGCCTAACAAGTCACCTATTATATTTATTTGAAATAATTGGATCAGTGTTGTTAGATTTATGGGTACTAATACCATGTAGCGACAAAAATAGCGGATACTTTTTTATACCTAATTGTTGTATTGTATCATCTTGTTTAACACATGTATTAATAAGAGCAAGTCTTTATAAACTTCATACCAGGATAACAAAAAGATTGAAGTATGTGAAATCCTTCGGAAAACCAAATTTAAATTTTAATAACTTATGTTAAAATCAATATATTCTACATATGTTGGACTTATTGCCACGGTTGCCACTTGAAAATGTTTTCCTGTACCAAAATTGGTTTAACATTTCTGTAAAAAAAGGTCCAAAATTTTTTCGTTCTGTGTTTTTCATAGTCTTACAAATGAACAAAATATAAAATAGTGCAAAGTTGCATTTACAAAAAAAATTGATTGGAAATATCCACAATAAAGTTGGATCGTCAAAAATGTACCATTTTTTGAACATGAGTACCAAACGAAAAAAA